GATTTTAATCCGGAAATTTGTTAACAAAACCTGTGATTTTCCGGAACTAAAAAACCGGATTTTTTCCTGATTTTTGTTTTTTATTTTTTTTTACAGGGGAATAGACGAAATGCTCGACAGTATTGGAAAAGCCAAATAGTTCTCCTCGATGAACTTATCTATGGGTTATTGGCAAATCCCCATGGATGAATCAAGCAAAGCAGCAACCGCCTTTATCTCAAGAGAAGGATTATTTGAGTTTAACGTTCTCCCCTTTGGATTATATAATGGATCTGCCACTTTCCAACACGTAATGAACACTATGTTGGCCGAGGATAACTGGAAGCATGCAATGGTCTATATCGACGATATCAATGTTTACTCGACTAATTTCGAAGAGCATATCGGACACATACGGAAAGTCCTTCAGAAAATTAGAAATGCTGGATTGAAATTCAATTGAGAGAAATGCAATTTCACAAGAAGTAAATTACCCTTTCTTGGACACATCATTAACGAAAAAGGAATATCCCCAGATCCCACCACCGTCAATAAAGTAAAAAAATTCCCACAGCCGCGTACAGTTAAACAACTCTGATCTTTCCTTGGACTCACAGGATACTATCGAAAATTCGTCAAAAGATTCTCCCAAGTAGTCATCCCATTATTTAAATTATTGAAGAACAATATCCTCTTCATATTAACCCTCGATCAGGAACAAGCCTTTGTTGAGTTAAAAATCTGACTAACGATGGTCCCAATACTAATTTACTCTGATTTTACCAAGAAGTTCTACCTATATACTGACGCATCGAATACTGGACTAGGTGCCGTACTGGTACAAAAGGATGAAGATGGCCGAGAGTGAGTTGTGTCTTATGCTAATGTCACCTTCAAGCCTGCTGAAACCCGATATAGCATCACCGAGAAGGAAGCCCTGGCAGTCGTATGGGCGATTCGACAATTCCATCATTATCTCCTAGGATCCCTCTTCGAAATAGTCACTGATCATAATGCTCTTCGTTGGCTCTTTCATAAGCAAAGTAATCCAGAACCACGAGTCGCTCGATGGTCATGGAATTAATGGAGTACAAATTCATTGTCACGTATCGATCTGGCAAAACCAATCAAAATGCTCCCAAATCAACCAATATTAATAATAGTCAAAAGAAAAACCAACAACAAAAGAAAACAAATGAAGAATAAGACAAAATGAATGTCTGAGAATATAATCGATTGAAAATTTATTTGATTAAAGGAATAAATCCCGTAGGATTTAACGAAAAACAAAAACAACAATTACAACAAAAAGCCAAACACTTCTTAATCATAAATGATTGTCTATATAAAAAAAACCAACGCTAAAAATCAACACACCCGCTAAAAGTATTACAAGAAAATGAAACAGAAGTTATTCTAACTTACATGCATGGAGAGCTTCTAACAGGACATTTCAGATACAACAGAACTTATCAACAGATTGCCGCAAAGTACTGATGGCAAGGAATGGGAATGACCATAAAGGATTTTATAAAATCCTGCTCCATCTGTCAACAAACTGGACCGAGAAGGAATAAACAACCCCTCCATCCCGCTAAAATTGGACAGCCTTTCGAATGGATCATGATCGATCTCGTTGGACCATGTGAAATAATAATCGATATATTGCCGTAGCAATAGACCCACTAACCCGATGGCCTGAAGCGCGAGCGATACCTAATAAAAAAGCATCAACCATCACTAAGTTCATTTTCGAAGAAATAATTTGTCGACATGGATGCCCAAAGGAAATCCAAACCGACAACGGAACAGAATTCACAGCAAAAATAATTAAAGAACTTACTGCAAACTACTGTATTCAACAAAAGTTTTCCTCCCCCTACCATCCCCAGACCAATGGTTTAGTCGAACGATTTAACAGGATGCTTTGTCAGATCCTTCAAAAATATTGCATCCAAAGAAAGACCGACTGGGATGAATATATCCTGGCTGCCCTGTTCACCTATCGAACTCTACAAAATGTCACTACCTGACACACTCCCTTCTTCCTAACACATGGACGAGAAGCAAGATTCGATAACAACGAATTCTACGAGAAAAATACTGAACAACTAAACGAAAAAGAACTACTAGAAAGAATCTATATTATTATCGATGGATTACCTTCAGAGATAGCAAAAGCGAGAGAAAACACAAGAGAACAACAAAGGAAATCAAAAGAACGGTATGATACTCACCTACGACCGGATAGCACATTCAACATTGGTGAAAAAGTCTTGCTTTACGACATGAAGAAACATGCCGCGTATGGTAACAAATTTACACCACAATGAAACGAAAAATAATACTATGTTCACGACGACTACAGGAATGGAGCTTATCGACTCTGAAATCAACAAGACCAACTACTGAAAGGCACTATAAACGGATTCCAACTTAAATCATACCATTCCCGATGAGACTATTTTCCTCTGACAATAATTATAACCGACGAAGTGACAAAATAAAAAAAATAAAAAAAAATTAGTTAGATGAAAAATGGAGACTAATTAAGAATGTCGATCGAATTGATCATACAACAATAAAATAAATAAGAAAAAGGAAGGCAACAAAAAAAAAAACCAACGGACAATGACAGAACACTGAGAAAGCAAGACAAAGAAAGTAATGAAAAAGACAATAGAATAAGAACAAGAATATTACGGTGGTAAGACACGTTAAAATCTGTTGAAAAGTTGAGAAGTTGAGAATTGAAGAATTGAAACACTTAGGGAACCAAATAATAATAATGGAAATCAAATATAATTACTAGTTATACAATGAAACATGAAATCTGATGATCTGTGAAACGATTTATTTATCTATATAAGAAGACAGTTAAAAAGAGGAATTTCAAAATTCTAAAGTGCCAAAACATCCATCAAAACGAAATTTAAAACACAACATCATGGCTGATCTATTCCCCTATATCATCGAAGAAGTTCAAAAGGCAATTAACACCATTGCAACTACTATGAAAGAACACAATTTTAATGGATCAATAGCAATTGCACCTGAAATTTATGCTATTACTGGAGCAGATGGACAATTATATTACTACAGAACAAACTCCTCCAGCATTAATTTTCAATATAGTGACAGAAATTAATTTTAATGGAACAAATACATGTATTTATCCATTATCACTGGTGTACCAATATGACAAAACAGTTTCATGGAAAGATCAAGTACAACAAGTGTTACAGGACATAATAAAAGATAAACAATTAGAAGCAGTACAACTCCAAAAATACTACCATTTAGGACAACTATACAACAACAAACCTGCTTCTTACCATAGACAAATGAAAGCGCTCAAATATGAGTGGGAAATTGCTTGTAAAACCAGAACAATTGGATTCCATTTGAAGATTGCAAGTGGAACTAGAAAAATATTTGAAAAGAAAGGTCTCAACCGTCTATATCGTAATATTGAGTTGAGTCCTTCAAGCATTGGACGCTTAAGAAAAGAAGAACTACAACAAATTATAGAACAAATTTAACCTTCGCTGGAGCTCAGTCTTCTCAAGGGGAATGTAATGTTACCGTAGTAATTTTTAATTCCTTAAATTCATAATTTTTTTAACTTTTTACTCGTATATTTTATCCCTATTTTATTTTATTACACAATATTCGTACTTTGATAAATGTTAGAAACATTTTAATTTATACCAAATATTAGAAACATTTTAATTTACACCAAATGTTAGAAACATTTTAATTTACATCAAATATTAGAAACATTTTAATTTACACCAAACGTTAGAAACATTTTAAGTTACACCAAATATTAGAAACATTTTGATTAACACCAGATGTTAGAAACATTGTGTGTAATCCACTTGTTATATTAAAAATGTAATTAGTGTAACCATTAAAATTTGTATATATAGAGGTGCTCTTGAACCTCTTGGAAGCATGCTCTAATCAAATAAAAGCTTTAACTAGTAACTTTAAAAACTTACTTGTTGTAATTCTTTTCACTTGATTATTTTCAAATCTTTTACAAAGTGGCCTTTATTTCTTTTGTACCTAACATAAATTGATAGTAGAAGACCTCTACTCTAAATAAGCCATATCTTTTTAATTGTATTTTGTTTTGTTGATCATATCAATAAATTCAATCTTTTGTGATAGTACTTATTGTAAAGCATATTTTGTAGTGCCAGGTCATTGTAAGAAGACCTGAAGAATATTTGAGAATATTAGTCTTGTTTTAGTAAAGCAAGTTAACCATTACTAAGTTAACCTCTACTTTTTTCTTTTGATTATTAAAGCCCTCTTTGTTACTATTTCCCCTTTTCTTTACTTTTAATCAGTGTTGATTTTTGTAAAAGTCACCACAGGAGACCTTTAGAACCTTTAGAGAACCCCTCTTTAAGTAAATCATTTAGTCTTTGTTCAAACTCTTGTGTTATTCACTATTCTCTAATTACAATAATTAAAGAGTAGTCATAACATTTTGGTGCCCCCTCTGTGGATTTTACTCGTCCATATTCCGAAATTTGAGAAAAATTCTGCCACAGTGAATGAACGAGGTTTACACATTCACTGGCGAACTGATCAATAATCATCTAGAACAACATCTCCCTGGAGAAGAGCGAAACCCATCGTTACAACCCTATTGCCCATTGTGTTACTCCCCTTTCCAAGAATACACTCTTCCTTTCCGTCAATTTTGGCTTTGGATTGAAACCGCCGGAGCAAAATCATATAACCGTATTTCACAACAGACGTTCCAAGAACTGGTTGATTACAATTATGACGAAGTCCACCCGACTATAATCCGCCAAAGAATTGTTCGTTTATTGAATACCGTCCTGTTTGGAGAATATCTAGTAGTAGACGATCAAATTCAGCTCATTAATTTCACCTACGAAAGATTCATTGGAACCCACACCAATGAGCAGAACAATTCTGACAATGAGGATCCAGAAGAAAACAATTCCAACGAGTGTTACTCTGAAACAATCGACGCTAGAACACAGACCGAAGGAAGTGACGAAGAAAGAAGATCCGAAAGATCAATTGAAGACGGGAATCTAATTGATTTCATTAGTTCAGAAAACCCATACACCGACGACGACGAAGAAATAATCTACATCGAGGAAACAATTATCAACGAAGATAGTGATACAAGCCAAACTGACGAAGAACAAGACGACGAACCCGAACAAAGAGAAAATTCACCCCATGAACAAGAAAATATGGCCAACGTTAACGACGTGTTGAACGTCGTGCAGCAACTGACAGTCGCGTTGAACGGACAGAATGCCAGAGCCGTGGAAAAGATGATTATCCCAATGAAGAAATTCTGTGAAGGTGATCAAGACCCAGTTGCATGGTTCAAAGACTTCGAGGTAGTCACAGAAGTGAACGGAATCATCCCCGCAAGAAGAATTAGAATCGTGCGAGGATATTTGGAAGGACCAGCCGCTATCTGGTTTGACGAACGAGCAGCGAACAATGCCACTGCGTTAACCGATTGGACAAACAATCATCATGACGAACATGATTTCAAACATCACTTCGCGCTGAAGTTTCGGACTCATCAAAAGCTAGATAAATGACAGGATGAGTTGGAAGACCTACAACAAACAGGAACCGTAGATGAATATACTGACAAATTCTACGAACTACTACGGAAAGCAGACCCAGAAAATCATATACACAACGAAAGTCGTGTTAGAACTTACCATCGTGAACTAAAACCAGAATTGCGAAAGTGGGTGAAAATAAATTCTGACGGTACATTGTTAAATACCATTGAAGTAGCCAAGAAAGCCGAAGAGGCCGAGTCTGAACCAGTGACAAGACCATATCATCAATCGAACAGCTCCTCCAATCTCCAGTTCGATGAATTGATGACAGCTCTCCGTGTACTAACCCGTAGGTTAGAACATTTAGAAACGCCGCAGAATCACCAGACTATGAGCCGGAATGATTATCCAACAAGGAATTGGCAAAATAATAGAAGATCACTCACCTGTTATAACTGTGGAGAGGAGGGACACATTAGCACCAGATGTCCCAAGTCATATTCGCCGGCTAATTACCAAAATAATCGCGAACATAATTGGCGAGATCGTAATAATGTGAATACCGAAAATTCGCATCAGCAAAACAATATCAGACCAAATGCATCAAATGGATCAGCGAACAATGGACAAACAAACAACAATACCAATACGGCGTTGTTAATGCAGATTAAACAGCTCACCGATGCATTACAAAACGGAACAACCAGCAATAATTCTCTCTTAGTTACTCATGAATATCTGGCAGGTGAAAGAAAGGCTAAGATCACCACTCGACATAATCCACTCGGTAACCGACCAATGACCTGTAGTCAAAAAGAAAGTGGGGAAGAAGAAATTAATCTAGAAGGAGATAATAATAATATTAATGATAATGAAATGGATGAAGCTGGATCATCCATCATAACCAATGACAATAACGATGACAAGAAGAAGATCCGAAAAAAAAAGGGAAAGCAATACTACCTGTGTTAGCATCGAAGGCTACACCGTATGATATTGCTGACGACCTCGCAATGATGAAAGCCAACATAACGGTCGCCCAGTTAATTGAAACTTCCCCCGCTCAACGGGTAAAAATGTCGAAAGCTATGAGACGACCAATTCAAAAGAAAACTACTAAACGAACAACTGAAATGATTCTAAAAAAAATCAAGATCACTTCCGCTTGGTGTGAGACCAAAGTGGGAAAAACCATGATCGATCTGATCATTGATACCGGTACGTCAGGATGTGTGATGACGCAACATTTCCTCCAGAGCCAAGGAATTAAGATCCAAAGAAAATTCAATGTCTCAATGACTGATATCAACGGTCATTCAAAGCAACCACTTGGAGCGATCGACGACTTGCCAGTAGTAATTGATGGGATCGTAATCCCAACCGAAGTCGATGTTACCGAAGCCCAAACATACGCTGTAGTCGTAGGCATGGACTTCTTAAACAAAATCAACGCAAAGATAGATATAAAGAAGGGTCTACTTACCTTTGACTGGGATGGACGTAAGGGAAATGCCTCCATAAAATATATTCATGACCAACACACCAACTTCACCAATGAAAATAACATGGAAGAATCTGAGGAAGAAAGTGATAGTGAAGACTCATACGATGAAGAATCCAAATTTAAAGAACAGGATCTGGATAAGAAATCTTACCTAATGTTCCGTCCAAAAGATGATTGGACTACCATCCAGCCTCAGAAAAAGAAAGTTCAATTTAAGAACAACGATAATATTGAAATTAAACTAGAAGAAAATTGGTTAGACGGGAATTGAAATACGTCGATTTGGAAGGTGTATCTTCTAGAGTTATTTGAAGTATTAAATTCATTAGGAATGCACAGGCTTACCAAGAAGGAATGAAAATTAGGTGGAGGAAATTCACTTGGGATGACTGCCAACGACTGACCGAAAAATTTCGACAAGAATGTACGCAAACACAACGTTGGGCGTTCGACTGGCAAGGACCAAATAAGATGTGCTGGTGTATGAAGCGTCTGTATACAAATTATCAACGGTGCCAACAATGTTACGATGATCTATGGGATTGGATTGCTGTCCAGCAACATCGACCATACTGAGCTGAACTAAAAACTAAAGCAGATTGGGCCGCTGAAGTTGAACGGGAGCTTTTCCAGGCACAACGGACCAAACGAATCTTTTCAACACTTGTTGAAGCATGGCAGAATATTTATCCTGAGAAACAAGTAAAACAATGTAATGAATGTAAATACTATCTGGATGAATATCATAGCCGGGTTTATTTTATTCAATCAAGTGAAAAAGCTTTAGCATGCGGAAATTGTCATACAGAAAAATAGCTAAACCTACCTGCTTGCGCTATTTGTGGAAATTGTGATGAGGCTCGACACATGTACATTACCGGGAGTTATGAGAAACGATATTTTTGTACCTACGAACACTAATGCGTCTATTGGTTTAACCAGGGTGGGTGGTGGAAGAACGCTGGTACAATCCGAAAGTTACGAGAATGACAATCGCTCCTTGAAGTATATGAGGAATGCAATGAAATCAGGAAGGCGATCCTATCTCGATATATCAATGAAGACGATATTGAAAATGAACGAGGTTATATTCAATATGACGGATCAGAGGAAGCGTCTGCTACGGAAATTTTTCAATCAATCTACCCACAATTAACGCCTGAAAGAAGAAGGCAATTGGCACGACTGGCCCATATCAATGTAAGGCTTTGCGAGGAATATTTAATACCTTGCGATGACAACCAATGTTCCGATTGTGTACAGCCAGACCTAGGAGAGAATGTCCGAAGATGTGATAAAGAAAAGGGAAAAGAAATTAATAAAGTTGACACTGAAACCGAAAATAAAAATAATGGAATACATTGGAAAGAATCGAAGAAGAATCCTTTAATCAATCCTCTGAAGAGGTGAATAATATTCAGAGTAGTGAACAACAACTACCAACTCTCAAAATTCCGGAAATTCAAGAGACATTTTCAGAACTATTCGAATATTTTCAGACTATACGAAAGAAATTACAACGTACTGAAGTCGACTTTAATGAGGAGAGTGTCTACAGTTCCTATGAAGAACTATCGGAAGATGATTCAACGGATCAATTAACGGAAATAAAAGAAATGAATTATGCGATCAAAGTATATACTGACAAAGAAAAGGGAATTATACCAAATCGAGCTCATTCCACCGATGCCGAATTCGACTTATAATATCCTGAACAAACGAACCTAATAATCGAACTCCATCAGACCATCATGATAGATCTTCATGTCGTCATGGAAATACCAGAAGGAACAATGTGTCAAATAATGTCTCAGTCTTCTTTAGCCAAGAAGGGAATCGATGTAAAAGGTGGAACCATTGACACCGGATACACGGGAAATATTGGTGTCATCCTATCCAACTCGTCACAACAATTGTACACCATTAAACCAAATGATCGAATCGCACAAGCGGTGTTTATTCAATTAGTCCTGATTGAATCATTGCAACCAGTTGACAGTCGAATGGAACTTGGAGAAAGTAGTCGCAGAACAGGAGGATTCGGATCAACTGACCAAATGACGGAAGCGTACTTCCTAAACATCAATGATGAATCATTACCTGTTAAATCCAGAGCCCTTACACCACGACAACAAGAACAGTTAAATACCTTACTTAATGACTTCCATGGCATCTTTATCACCGACTTGGATCAATTAGGGAGATCGAATGTAGTTCAACACAAAATTCATACCGAGAATGCTATTC